GCAAATAAGTCTAGCTCGTAGTGCTGTGCAAGTATGTCCCCAATAATGCCGAGTGCGCGGTTGGTGGGCGCTTGACGAGCGCGCTCGGTACGTGCGCGGGGGGCTCCAACAGTCGCGGGCGGCGCCGCGGCGCCACCTGTCCCTGCGAGTTTGCTGACACGTTCCCAGGGACCAAGATGCGGACACGCTCTAGTATTTGGGGATTATCAATCCTATTGTGAATTATGGACAGATATTGCATGACTTGAGACATTGCCCTTCTAAATTTCAACGTTTCAATGTCCACCATACCAGACACGAATAAGGAAGGGTATAAGTAGGGATAGTATCCGTACTGTTTCTTATACAGGATGTTAGTGTAAACACCGTTGTCCTTGAAACCAGTGGTTTGGTTACACTTATAGAACGTAAATTCAATGAAAAATAACAACATTTTTTTTAGTAAAAGCTCAATTTTTCCTTAATTCCTCAATTTTTGCCTGTCATAAGTTAGGATGAAAGTACGAAAGAAAAGTTACATCACGGGTTATGTGTACCTATTGTGTTTTTATGTTCAATGTTGTGTAGGTAGCTAGCGCGGGCGGTGATCTTTACAGTGATTACGTCACTCGGGCGCATAGGGTATCCATGAATTTACGGACGGTGTCGGACAGAAACTTTTTAAATTTTATGAAAAAAAAATAGTTTCTTTTTTTAAATTCATTGAATTTACGTTCTATAAGTGAAACCAAACCACTGGTTTCAAGGACAACGGTGTTTACACTAACATCCTGTATATGCATCGAGCAAATTTACGTTGTATTTTTTCAAACATTAGAAAGTATTTCTCTTCGTAAGGATTCCAGATAACAGCACCGTACTCGAGTTTACTGCGCACATAAGCATTGTATAATACTTTTATGACCCGTGGATTATCAAACTGTGACGCAGTCCTTATGACAAACCCTAACATTTTGTGCGCTGACTTACAAATTTTGTTGATGTGCGTGTGAAAATCTAATTTGCAATCTAATAGTAATGCTAAGTCCCTAATCTCTTTAAATCTTTCCAAAGGAGCGTCAGTCAACTTATAATTAACAATAATGGGCTGTGATTTTCAAAATTATTATTTTACATTTGAGATTATTGAACGGAAGGTGGTTTTCTTGACTCCATATAGACACAGCATCAATATCTCTCTGTAATGTCACAGCATTAGCCTCAGTTTCAATACCCAGAGTTAGTTTCAGGTCATCCGCAAATAGGAAACACTCTGAAGTCAAAACAACATCTGGCAAATCGTTGATGAATATCACGAATAGCAAAGGTCCTAACGTACTACCTTGACTCACTCCTGACCTAGTAAAGTAGTCTCCAGAGTTATATCCACTGAGCCTCACATATTGACGTCGATTATTAAGGTAACAAGAAAAAAAAATTGAGGAGCTTTGGTACGAATCCAACAATCGCTAACTTTTTCAATAGTATATCGTTATCCACTAGGTCGAAGGCTTTCTGGAAATCAAAGTAAGCCGCATCAACTTGCCTTCGCTTATCCATTTGTGAGCAGATATAGTCTACATGCGCGACCAAGTTGGTGGTGGTGGAGCGAGCTGTACGAAACCCATGTTGACCATTATGCAGCTGGTGACTGATTTGGTATTTGAGGGAATCACTTAGAATTGCTTCAAAGATCTTACCAAAAACGGATAGGACAGCTATAGGTCTGAAAGAAGTAACATTTGTGCCTCCGTCTCCTTTAGGAACAGGAGTGATTCGAGATAGTTTCCAGCTCTCAGGATATCTAGACTGGGTCAATGAAAGATTATACAAATACAGAAGAAGCCGCCCAAGAACTGATATACAGTCCTTAACTAAGAAGACAGGAATGTCATCTGGCCCACCAGCCGATCATGGCTTAAGGCGTCTCACTGCCTTCTTCAGATCGTTTTCATCAACTGTCGTGATGGAAACTGAGGTCACATCTCGGTGTATATGTGCATGTGCAGCTTTTACAGCAGTATCCGGGTTCAGCACGGAAAAGCATGCATGAAAAAGGGACGCAAAATATTTAGCAAAGGCATCGGCTGCGGTTTGATCTGTCACTGCAGTATTTTCGTATATATATGTATCTATGTACCTTCTATTGTTTTTCTTCTCCTTTACATATTTCCAGAATTGCACAGGATCGTCAATGATATTTTTTGTAGTACAGTCATAGTCATATATTTCCGGTATTCGCAGTCAATCAATTTCTTAACTTTTTCTCTATAATATATAAACATAGCCTTATTAAATACTTTGCCCTCTTTTTTGAATTGCTTATGATGAAAGTGTTTGTTTTTTATATTTTTTATTATTTCTACGTTGTACCAGTTTGGATATATGTATCGCTGACTGACAAACAGATTTATAATTTCGTATAGCTTATCGTAGAACAGCTGTACGGCACAGTTAATATCGCTTATTGTTAACAAATCAGACCAGTCTATTTCAATCAAAGTCCTATATAGACCCTGAAAGTCTGCCTTACGCCAGTTCCAATCTGTATTGGTATTCGAGCGAGGTGTCACTTGCTGCAAAGATGACACGCTCGATGCTATCCAAAAGCCCGGAAATGTAATATTTACATCGAGCATAGGATGGTACTGATCGATATTTACCAGATGATCTGAGAGATACCACTATCTGTTTAGGTTCAAAATTGCCCAGCACCAGATCTAGCATACCACCACGATTATTTAAGACTGTATTATATTGCTTAAGCGAGCAGAATTCACAAAAAAATTCAAAAGAAGTCTTTATATTGGTACTGCAAGAGTTTAAATTAAAGTCACCTAGGATTAGAACATTCAGGTCGGGGTAAGTACAAATCACATTTTCTATACATGTCAAAACATTCAAATATTGCTCATCCTTATAATTTAGTGGCAAATATACGACACAACATAAAACTTTTACATTTTTAAATGTCACAATTGCAAATATTAATTCTTTGTCATCAGTCATACTAACAATATCCGTAACTATTTTAACATTATAACGATCACGAATCGCAAGCAAAACTCCTCCCCATCCACAATCACCAGGTCTATCTTTACGAACTACATGAAAACCCGGAGGAAAGAGTTCACCATAGACACTGAACTCGTAAGAAAGGTCTCAGTTAATGCTATCATATCAAATTCACTTTCCATAACATTATTAAGAAATATATTAGTTTTTGTTCTTAGGCCACGAACATTTTGGTAGCATATTTGCATTTCATGGAATCGCGGTTGACGCTTGATTGTTATTGTCTTTGGCACGAAAGTTCTGCCGCCATGGTTTAATACAGATGTCTTCAGCCCAGTTTTCAGATGACATTATATTTTCGGCCTGCTTCAATGGAACTCCGAGTTTGAACGACGCATAATGTCCACGTGGTTTCAGTTTTTCAACCGTGCATTTGTCGTTCCCACATATTGAGTTAAGATATTCGCGTACTTGCCTTCTCGTACGTAGTATAGGTGCAGGTATCTTCGCCTTTCAGCAGCTTGCAACATCGTAGAACCAGGTGCAGCGGTACCTCGAAGCAACCCGGGAAGTGAGGGGCGTGCCCGTTTGCGTGATACTTCTTGCCAGTTGTCATCAATCCGCTCGCAGTCCTGGCTATTATTTAAAGAGACGGAAGAGTCAGAATATTCTGCGTGCATCATCTTTTGAGCACTGAGAACAGGAGCCACAGATGAGACTTTATTTGTGCTGGGGACAGTAAACGCAGACTGATCCTTATCAGTTTCGAGATGTTCGATATTTGGTTGAGGTTGAGGTTTCCGCTTCGGAGGCTTATTTTGTGTAGTGGGTATATTTTCAAGGGTTGGACTGGTTTGAGTACCGCTAGTTTTCAAGATTAATCCTCCAATTGTAAAACCTTGTTCGTTATCAAATTAACCCTATCCATGAATTCAGTTTTGAACGCCAAAAAATTGTTCAATAAACAGTGTATTAATTTTGCTCATTAGCTGTGTTTCGAATCAATTTGCAGGTTTTTTAATTCACGCACAACAGAATCTTTTAAATCATTTCCTGTAATACTTTCGCCTGTGCTTCCCACAGTAGTTTGGGCGTATCGCGGCTTAGCTCGTACAGTCACGTTATCAGAAGTCTGCATGGGTACGTCAAGGCACGAAGCAGTAGAGGTGGTATTTAGATCCTGCATAACGTGTGGCCGCACTGGAGTATGAGAATTATCTAGTTTTGGTTGCCTACAGCGACATTCTCCACATGTCCAAGACATCTTTAATTCCACCGACATATTTTTAAACACATCAGTAGTAATGTTTGCACAAATAATATCAAAAATCTGCTTACATTTTGCGCATTTCATATACGGACCGTCTTTGCTCACCTGACTTGCCATCGTAGTGCAGTCCGCAGAACGTAGGTATTGCAATGCCGCGCACACAGCGCTGGCCGGTAGCGATGACTCAGTGGAGCAGCGGGCGTCGCGCGGGTTGTCATAGGTCAGTTTAAGACGGTTAACAAATAATTTTGAAATGTTATTGCTTATATCTTCGAAATTACTGGAAGGAAATTAATTTTGATTTCACCACTAGAATCGTCACTACAACAGCTTTGTGAATTATATACACACAACTTTAGAGAACAACTTTGGACACGAATTTTAACAGTTTATTTATGGAGCAAACTTGCACAGGTGTTTCCTTCACAGAGGTCCGTTACCACTCTTGTAATAGACGACCAAAAAATATGTATATCAGAGACATCGTTGCCAGATAGTGAGGCAGTACCCATGATTCCCGTATCTTCAACGAATCCACTCTCAAATAGCGCTTTGAAAGAAGAGAGTTTAGAGGGAGACTCTTAGGAGATTCAGGCTATCGATTAGAGCCATATCTATTCACACCTATACTAAGAACACAAAATGAGCGTGAAGAACGATATGATCGAGCACAAATTGCCACTCGGAACTGTGTTGAACATTGCTTTGGTGTGTGGTTTCAAGTCTATTGTATGGCATGACAGTACACATGAAAAATGTAAAACCTACAACTGTGGATCTTGCAGTGTTGCACAATATTGCAATAGGACAACAGGATTCGGTACCAGGTAATTTGCACACAAATAATTTTAGTCATTCATGAATATAATATTTCTTTACATAGGTAATAATATTAATCATATATTTTTTAGATAATGATGGTGAACTCAATGAAATTGTGGATGCTGAACTTCTACCTCAAATTGGTGAGGCCGGAGGAAGAGACTCCAATAATGCTCTTCTACGAGCATTTAATGATAGGCATTTTAGATAATTAAGGCTATGAGTAAGTAAGCTCCAGATTTTAATTTTAAATTATTTATTTTTAAGAACTAGAAGTATTTTTTCTTATATTCAATTTTTAATTAAATTAATGTCTCATCGAGGTCTAAGTTTCGGGCTTTCCTTTCTTCATTTGCCATTTCCTCTTTCCTCCACTCTATTTCAGTATTGGCTATACTTTCTGCATGATCTGAGGTCTGAAATAGAAATAGTTATGTTTCAGTATTTAAAAAAATCAAAGCAAGAATTTCATAAATTAACATAATCCCTATTGGAGTAGTGGTCATTATATTTACCTTTTTCTCAGTTCTATTCTTTCTTTCAGGTTTCTTAGATGGCGTATAGAGTGTTTTTGGTGTTGAACCAACAGATACAACCTGCAGTAATGAAAAGCGTTAAAAGAAACTTGTTTTCATTATCTTAATCTTAAATATACTACTTTGATATAAAATGTTTCATCAAATAAAATTCAAGTTAGACCATTTTTTATTCAACTAATATATATTTTTATACCTAAACTTTTCAATCCAGGGTTACAAATCAAGTTATGGGTTTGATTTCCACTTTGGCACAAGTTAAGTAATTACATTTCACACATTTACTTCTCGTGTACTCCTCAAGTATTTCTACTATGACATCCTTTACTGTACTCTATGTGTCCTACAACATTAAATATAATAATAAAAACAGGTAAGAAAAATATAAATATTGCTAGCTATCTCAATGCTTTACTAATGCTCACAATATCTGAAGTCTTGTTTTCAACATTGGGTTGATGAAAAGTTTATTTATCCCATCCACTTTGATTTAATTTTGCGATGACCCCCAATCTACAAACAATGCAATAAATAATTAAATTAATAATGAACTAAGGCATGGGTTTTTTTTTTTGATAACTATATCATTAAGTAAACTTTAGTAGGTATTTTATTTAGGCAGAAAGGAACAAAAATATTACACAAAACTAGAGTGTGTACTGGGTAGAGATAAAACTTGCGACCTTTAACTTAGAATCTTGACATGTAATACCTGATTTATTTCATCAGAATCAAATTCATTGGTGTTAATGACAAATTCGCCGTGTAGTGGCGGTTGAGAATATCCACTACCCCATATCTTCCCGTGGGTGTCGTAAAAGGCGACAGAGGGAGACAGGCAGGAGATGGGCAGCAGCATCTTCCTGATAACAACTGTGACGTAATAAAAAACTGCGGTTGCCAACCCGCTCGCCAAGCGTGGCAACTATGGCAAATACCCCCCAATGAATAAATACACAAACAGACGGCCCCCAGTCCCCGGCGGCCCCGCTATTCCTGGCTACGGTGGCGACCATGGTAACGGCGGGGCAGGGGGTGCTAAGAATCTCCGGTGGAGGTTCGGTTGCCACCTACGACGACTCGACCTGGCAACATATAACGCACGCACCCTGAGGACTGACGAGAAGATACTAGAGCTGGAAGAAGAGGTAGACAAGTTGCGCTGGCATATTATTGGATTATCCGAGGTCCGAAGAGAGGGGGAGGACACGGCAATCCTCGAGTCCGGCAACTTGTTCTATCACCGGGAGGGCGACCATCTGTCCCAAGGAGGTGTCGGATTTATCGTCCACAAGTCTCTCGTCAACAACGTTGTAAAGATTGGGAGTGTGTCGACGAGGGTCGCGTACCTGATACTCAGAATCACCAAACGGTATTCGCTGAAGGTCATTCAGGTTTACGCACCAACCTCGGCACATCCCGATGAGGAGGTGGAGGAAATGTATGAGGATATTTCCAGAGCCATACATTCCTCCAAAACCCACTACACGGTGTTGATGGGAGACTTCAACGCAAAACTAGGCACAAGAGAAAGCGGTGAGCTGAAGGTAGGGAAATTTGGAGTAGGGCAACGGAACCGAAGGGGGCCAGCAGCTGGCCGACTTTATGGAGAAAGAGGGACTCTTTATGATGAACTCTTTCTTCCAGAAGCGGCCCCACAGGAAGTGGACCTGGTCGAGCCCCGACGGTTCGACAAAAAATGAGATTGACTTCATTATGACGACCAGACGCCAACTGTTCAGTGATGTCTCAGTGATCGCAAGGGTGAAAACTGGTAGCGATCACCGAATGGTTAGAGGCACACTGAACCTAAACGTTAAGTTGGAGAGGTCTCGTCTAATGAAGTCAACGCTCCGTCCCCCTCGTGCTCTAATCCAGAATCCCGAAACCTTTCAGCTCGAGTTACGTAACCGCTTCCAGTGCCTAGAAGATTGCAATGCAGTGGACGATATGAACGACAAGCTCGTGGAAACTGTCCATGCGGTCGGAGCTAAGTTCTGCAAGACCCGCCGCAGAAGAACACAAAAACTCTCCGATCACACTCTTAATCTCATGGCTGTTAGACGGGAGATGAGGCTGCAATCGTCAACAGATTTGACAGCATACAGGCAACTGAACAGACAGATCTCCAAATGCATGCGGCGAGACTTACGCAACTTTAATACTTCTCGTATTAAAGAAGCGATCGAGCGGAACCAGGGCTCCAAAGTCTTTGCCAGAGATCTGTCTGCCAGAAAGAGCCAACTGTCAAAGCTGAAGACTGAGTGTGGCAACATCGTTTCCGGGACACCTGAGATTTTGAGTGAGATTGAGAGGTTCTATGGGCAGCTGTACACATCATCGTTGGAGCCACACGCAAGTGTGAGTAACGATCCAAGAGCAAGTCTTATCCGACACTATTCCGATGATATCCCGGACGTCAGTCTGAGCGAGATTAGAATGGCTCTCCACCACCTTAAAAACGGCAAGGCCCCGGGTGAGGATGGAATTACAGCGGAGCTTCTGAAAGCGGGTGGAAAACCGGTACTTGAAGTCCTTCGGAAGCTCTTCAATTCCGTCCTCCATGGTGGCACTACTCCGGAGGCGTGGAGCAGAAGCGCGGTGGTTTTGTTCTTTAAGAAAGGCGACAACGCTCTCTTGAAGAACTACAGACCGATTTCCCTTCTGAGCCGCGTCTACATGCTATTTTCGAGAGTCATTACGAATCGTCTCGCACGCAGACTCGACGACTTCCAGCCTCCCGAACAAGCCGGTTTCCGAAAAGGCTTCAGTACCATAGACCACATACATACCCTGCGGCAGATTGTACAGAAGACCGAAGAGTACAATCTGCCACTTTGCCTGGCATATGTGGACTATGAGAAAGCCTTTGATTCCGTCGAAATTTGGGCGGTGCTACAGTCCCTTCAGCGGTGCCAAGTTGACTGTCGGTACATCGAAGTGCTGAAGTGTTTGTACAGTAGGGCTACGATGGCTATCCGAGTACAGAACCAGAGTTCGAAACCTATCCAACTGCAGAGAGGTGTAAGACAGGGTGATGTTATATCCCCGAAACTCTTCACCGCTGCGTTGGAAGACGTTTTCAAGCTACTGGACTGGAAAGGATACGGTATTAACATCAATGGCGAGTACATCACTCACCTTCGATTTGCCGACGATATAGTCATTACGGCAGAATCGCTGGAGGACTTAAGCATTATGCTCAATGACCTCAATAGTGCCTCCCAACGGATAGGTCTTAAGATGAACATGGACAAAACAAAGATCATGTTTAATGTCCATGTCACACCTATGCCGGTAGTTGTTGGGAGCACTATGCTCGAAGTTGTTGACGAGTACGTTTACCTGGGACAAATAATCCGACTAGGTAAGTCCAACTTCGACCGAGAGGTCAATCGACGGATTCAACTCGGCTGGGCAGCGTTCGGGAAATTACGACATATCTTTTCGTCAGGTATACCTCAATCTCTAAAAACTAGATTGTACAACCAGTGCGTGTTGCCAGTGATGACTTACGGATCTGAGACGTGGTCCTTCACTGCTGGCCGTATGAGGACGCTTAAGGTCGCTCAGCGAGCTATGGAGAGGGCTATGCTTGGAGTTTCTCTGCGTGATAGACTCAGAAATGAGGATATCCGCAGTAAAACCAGAGTGATCGACATAGCCCAACGGATTAGTAAGCTGAAGTGGCAATGGGCCGGCCATATAGCTCGAAGAACCGATAACCGATGGGGAAGAAAGGTTCTCGAGTGGCAGCCTCGTACCGGTAGGCGTAGTGTAGGGCGACCCCCCACTAGATGGAGTGACGACCTGGTAAGACATGCAGGAAGTCGATGGATGCAGGTGGCTCAGGACCGTGCTTTGTGGCATTACTTGGGGGGAGGCCTATGTTCAGCAGTGGACTTGTGAAGGGCTGTAATGATGATGATGATGATGAATGACAAATTCGTTAGGGAGCCATGAACAGATGTCATCTGCATTTTCAGGGTTCGTTGTTGGAGGTGGACCACCACCAGTCTGGCGAAGATTCTTTCGTTCGACAGACTTAATTTTCTTTTTTTGTCATTTTAATAATGCTTCATTGGGATTTTATTTGGGAAGGGTGCGAGTGTGAGTGCCACCTTTGCACATACTGTTGAAACTGCAAAAAAGTATAATCACAATTTATACAAATGTTTGACATTTTAATATTCAAAATGGGCCAATCACAATGCAAGTGATCCTGAGGACTTTTTTCACACGCGTAGATAATTCACAAAATCACATCACTTTTACAAATTAAAATCCACTTCAAACCAATAAGCCTCATTTAAATTCAGCCCCTGCCACTATTCCTCGCGCTGCCGGCCATACTTCGCTAAATACTGCCGTAGCAGGATCGAGAAAAGTGTGTATTTACATTCTGCCCTACCACTCACACTCACATCACTTTCGACTTCCGACTAATGCAGACGTCGAAATAAATATAGCGTCCATGCTTATTATTGTAATACAAAATTATGTTAATAATTCAAAAAGATATATAAAATTCAAAAGAGAAGATAGATAGATAGATAGAAAATTTATTTGCTTAAAACATGGTACATAAGATGACCAATGACGTGGAACTGACATGTTTTGCCATAATTGGCATAAAAAAATGATATGAAATACAGCTAATTACACAAACTCATAAAATTATAATTTACAAATCTCAGGCTATTATGCAAATATTACCATTTAATTAATATATTATTTTACATTTTAATAAATTAATAAGCAATATGAGTTACTTATTGTTTTTAGAAATAAAATGTCAATTTTAATTAATTCTTTATACTAAATTTTAAATTAATATAATAAATTTGACGAATTTATAATTAATTATGTACATAAGTACCTACTTAGTTATCTCAAAAAAAAAATTCGTCTTCGTAGAAGATGATGAACTGTGGTTTTTATCGTTGAAATCCCATATAGTTTTTTCTGTTTCAAGCAGTTCCAAAAACTTGATTGTATTTTCGTTACTCCTCTCGAAAAGCATTTTGGCAGATCGTACTTATTTAAAAACACGACAGCACGCACGTCCGTATATCCAGGCGCTTGGCGCGAAGCAAAGAGTATAATAAGTATATAGCGCGAAGTGATCGACGGAGCAAAATATGGACACTCACTGCCGCTCGCGCTGCCCGTCCTTTGACTTCCGCACGAAAAACCGACAATCGAGGGAGCGTCAGGCAGTGGCGGTGGCAGCGGAGCTGTTTACATACTGCCCTGCCCAAAAAGGCTGAATGTAAATGGGGCATTATTCAAGAGACAAAGCAGGATCGACAGTCAGTCGACGGCAAAGTTCCCGCCAAAACTCCCTCACACTAATCCATGCGTAGTATCCTCCACAGAGTAGAGTAATATATACAGGAAGTATCCTCTTAGTAGTCTGTGCAGTAATCTATGGTAAGGTGACGCGTTTGC